CCCTGTTCTGCTGGAAGTAGGCCTGGAGGATGGTCATCTTCTCCTGGGTCTCCTTCTCCACTTCGGTGCTGCAGCTGCCATGGGATCCCAGAGCCTGGAGTCGGGGGGTAAGGACACACAGGGAAGGTCAGGTCGGCGCTCTGGCTGGCGCAACTTCCTTAGTTCTGGAGAAACCCAGTCTCATCAGTGAATACAAATAAACAGCAACGGGCAATGTAACCTCACGATTGAAGAGCATGTGGGAAGGAGGTGTTCCCCGTTAATGGGAACAAAAACTGAGGCAATCACTTTGGTGGCCAACCTTCAACCATCTATCAAAAGGTAAATTGCACAGCATTTCCACGACTCAGAAATTACCCCAGAGAGCAATATATTCACACTCTCCGAAGTCTAATGTATAGTCTTAACCAAAGACTGGAATGAACCCAAAGATCCAATACCCGACAACTGGTTAAACAAATTATGGTGCATCTATACCAGAGAACATTCTCAGCTATAATAAGAAAGAAAAGTAGACGTATGCAGCAAGATGGAATGAACCGTATAATATGCAGTTTAAGGGGGAAAAAAAAGCAAGATACAAAATGGTGTCAGTGTGGTTAGTAAATGTGTTTCCTTGTGTGGTTTTAGAAGGGACAGATAAATCGTGGTGTATATATATATATATATAAAAACTCTTAAAAAAAAAAATAAACACAAGGGGATGCAATTTTGGAGGAACACACAGTTTCACCATTACTGCTTCATGTTCTAGCTCTTACATTCAGCAGTAGATTCCCCAGTAGTACGGATACATGACATCTATTCTTTCAAATATAAATATTCTAGCAGAATATGCAAAAGACTATTAATAGTGACGGTTTCTGAGGAGGACTGTAGGACTGGGTGGGAGGGAGACTAACTTTATCGTTGCCCTATTTTACTGCTTGAATTCTTTACCATACTCATGTCTTACCCTTTCAGTCTCCATTCACAATTTTAACACATACTGACAGATAAATTTTCTTTCATCCTTAGTCTTCACAGTATGGCTGGCTTTCTGTCAAGTATATGCCTACTTTGCTAGAATGAGACCTATCAGGTTGTTGCTGTTTTTTGGTTTTTTTTAAATAACTACAAGCCCTTTATTAACAAGTCAGTAACACAGGGAGAAAGCTGTAAAACTACTTTCCTCGGAGGCCCCTGGAGAGGCAGGCACTGTCAGAACTTACTAGGCCAGGGAAGGCAACCCAGCCAGAGGCAAAACGGAGGTCAGGGCCTCCCCCCGGGGAGCAGCTGGCCCGGGGCGCTGAGAGGGGGGATGGCTGGGACCTCAGGCAGGCACTGTGCAAACGCTGAGGCCGCGCAGGGAGTGATGGGGCGACGGGTTCCCGGAGGAAGCCCAGAGCACAGTGTTCCCCTGCGTGGGCAGACACGCGTGTCCATGTGAGAGCCGGTGCCTGCACGCAGCTGACGCACAGACAGCAAAAGGAGGGGTCCCCCGGCAGGAATGGCGGTGGGGAGGGCTCATCCCAGAGCTTGAGGAAATGGCTCAGGGAAGTCTCCCTATCAGGTTCTTGACAACAAAACTTTTTTGTGTCTGACACTTTCTATCTTCTAACCTGCTCTTGCCTCTTTCCGAACTATATTAACTACATCCCTTCCTAGCTGTTACACGCACGACGGCGCGCAAGGAGAAAGCCTTCTCTCGCATGTCACCTAGTGCTCCATAACCTGTACGGAGGCCTTCACTCCCCTTCTCACAGATGAGGAAACCGAGGCACAAAGAGCTCAAAGTGAACATGCAAAGATTCTAACCCACGTTTCCTGAATTCAAACTTAGGACTCTTCACACTTTACTGTAACTGTTCATACTGGCAGAATAGAGGGGCATTTCACATTAGTTAGCTCAGCTGCTAATTCTTAAAGGTCCATAACCCTACTGGGGGTGGGGGGGTAGGGGAAGTGGGACACTACCTCTGTTCTGTGAATATAAACTACATGCCAGGCCTCAGTCAGTTGTGTCTAAGTTGAAGGGGTCAAACTGACCACTGCTAGGAAACCCCAGAGCTCATGCTTGCATGGCACTGCTCCTGCCTCTGTAAGCAATTGCAGCATCGACGTACAAATAAGCCGAGGCAGCTGCCCCGACAAGAGGACTTCCATACTGTTTTTGTGGGCAGTCTGACAGCTGACAGCACCAATCTGCCCCAGTTCAAGAGTCAGAGAGGTTTCAAGTTTCAATAGCACTGGGACCGTCCAGTGCAAAGATGAAGGACTTTTTTGGACTTACTGCAACAATGGAGGCATGTGCCTTTAATCGCTGGACTTGGGCCTGGGAGGGCATGTGCCTGGAACCAGTGAAGGCCACAAGGTAGAACTTGAGAATGAAGCCCACAAAGACAAGGGCAGAGTTGAGAGATGAAAATAATGTCCTGAGGGCATTACTGAAGCTCCTGGATCAAAATAAAGTTAGCCTTTCACCTGGGTCTTTAATTACATAAGCCAATAAATTCCATTTTGTGTAAAACCAGTTTGAATTGTTTTGTCACCTGTATCCAAGAGTCCTGATAGAGTTTCTTTTCTCTGTGAAGCCCTCCTCCATCCTTTCCCCTTTCCAGAATTCTCCCTGCTTTGTGATCTGTTGTTGTACTGTTATTGCACACATCTTCTGCTGCGCAGCCCAGCCTACACTGTTGCTAAGTGTCTCTACCATACCGGAGTGGGCTCCAGCTGATGGCTGTTATGACCACCACAGCCCTTCTCACAGCTGTAGGTCTCCATGACTTGCTCCATGAGGCAGGGACCATGTCTATTTCTGTTCACAGCTAATTCTCTAACATCTGGCACAAGTTAACATGTTCAATAGATACTTGTGAAATGACTAAGTGAAGACTAGGATTCAAAGTTAGTTAAAAACTGATCACCTAGGAGACTCAGCCTGGACATCCAATAGCCAAAATTTCAAATTTCAACCAGAATCACAATCTCCGAGCTCTGCTGGATATTTTGAGAACCTGGGGAAAAGGGGAGAAGAGGAACGCCTCAGGAAACTAAAGCAGTAATGAATATAAACCAGGCCCACCGCAGCTTCCTTGGCCTTGAACTCCTTCTCTCTTTGCAGGCGGTATTGTTCAATTTCAGCCTGAGCTTCTTCTTTGGCCTGCTTCAGCCTCCGG